CCCCCCTTCTTCTTCCCCCCCCTTATCCCTCCCTGCCCACCCATCCTCCCCAGTTCATAGTTCATTTTTTAAGAATTAAAGATCCAACTTGAGACCTGAAACACTTGACTTTTGCCCTCCTGTTGCTCACACCCTGCAGGGTTGCAGCCTCCCTCGTGCAGGGCCAGGCTTGGTCAGTACTGATGTGGGCAGCTGAGCAGATCTTCAATTTTGAGATCTGTAGTAACAGGAATGGTAATATGCTGATGAATTGTTTTTACAGCAGTGAAGTTACTGTGCTAGCGGTAGACAGGTGTCTCTTCTTTGTAGTGTCACTGAAAGCTGCCTAGTGCACCAGCTTTTCCAAGGATCCACTTGGTGTGCGTGTGCATGCATGTGTGTGGGGGTGTGTGTATTTATGTGTCTACCATGCAGGGGACAGAGAAGAAAGGACAATTTTGATGATTTTGCTGTATGTGTAGGTAGTCTGTCTACATGTAGGTACCCACCGTAGCATGACCATCTCTGTTAAGAAGCTTTGTTATCCCCCATTAGTAATTAACATCTGGTTACATCAGCTGGGATTATGCAACCCTTTAACAGCTGACACTAGTTCATACCTGTTTTCATTCTTTTCTCCCCTCTGATTCAGCTGCTTGGCTTTGGCCAAGTGACCGCATTGTAACACTTCAGAACCTGCTTAGTTGTATACCTATCTCACTGAAGTCACAAATCTGAAACCCACCCGGCACCTCGTGGTGATTCCCAGTCACTGGGACCTGTAGGTGCTTGTTTTGCTTTCATGTTTTGTCTCCTTCTGATGAGGAGCCTTTACTTTAAAAAATCTATAACCATTGGCTTATTTGAAAGCAGTTTTACTCCTGTGACACTTACTAGGCAGTCGTGTTTCCTTGGGTTTCTGCAATATTCTGTGGAATAGCAGCAAGAACAAGGGCAGTGATCACAAACATTTTAATAGGACTTTCCGTGTGCCAGGCACTGTGCTGGCACTTGATGTATTACTAACTCATATCCTGCCAACAGCTATGTGGTGGGTACTATTATCACCCCAGTGTTGTAAGTGCAGATAGTGAGGCAGCTTCTGCACTAGGGTTATACAGCTTGTAAGTGCCTTATGCACACACATTTCTCTGCAGGCACAGAGAATTGTTTTGTATCTGGGTGAGGCTTGCTCTGGGGCTCAAGACACCAGGAGCAGGGAAGCCGGGACTAGATGCACAGACCCCGTCGGAGAGAACTGGCAGAGGTGCTTGGCTGCTGCTTATGTTTGAGTAGGAAGTGACACGGAGAAGTCCTCCCATCCGAAAGCCCGGGACCTGTGAGCGAAGTTGAGGGAGCCCAGGCACGGGCAGGAAGGAAACGGAAAGGGAGGTGTGGAAAACTTTGCTAAGGAAGGAGGTCACTTGCAACAGCCTCTCACAAAGAGCCCCTCTCTGGACCAGTTTTGTCCCTTCAGGGCACACATCCCGGAGGAGGGTGAAGCAAGTTAAAGGTATGTTAACCTTCAGCGAGGTTCTTGTATTTTGAGGAGTCAGGCTGGGACACCTCTTCGGTCGCTCTTGCGATTGTGTTTTGGAAGAGGTTGTTTGCGACATGCTAGGATGACCCCACTCTCCGGCACAGACTGGCCCTGTAGGAAAGCCGGCTAGGTAAGAGGCACTGCGGGGGAGTGGGGTAGGCAGGGGCAGAACCCCCATCCTGCTGCCATTTCCCCTGGAAAGAACACCCTAGGGCTGAAATTGGATTACCAGCCTCGGGGGCCATCTCTCTGGTATCTGAATAAAGGCCACTGTGGTGAGCAGAGAGACTGCAGGTGACATGGCATCACCTTTCCTATAGAATGTGGTTGCCTGCGACTGTCATTGTTATTTTTATATCACGAAGTCATAGTTTCCAATCCCCTTTCTGAGTAATTTTAGCCTGATTCATTAAGAATGTGGGTCAGATAGTGTAATTTAATTAAGTTATTCACCTCTCCAGCCTCGGTGCCTAGTCTGTTAAATGGGGGCATTGGGAATAGCCATCTCATAGGGCTGTTGGAGATAATGCTCAGCACCATGTCCCTGTCATTGTGTCTGCCTTAAACATGGAGGTCTGTGGCCTTCTTAGGGTTCTGACACTTAGAGCAGTCTCCTGTTCTGGGGCCCGGCTGTGATCAGCTCTGACATTCCAGGGCACGCATCACCATAGGTGTAGACATTGCCAGCTGAAGAACTAGAACTGGGGAGTTGCAGATTGTTCAGTCTCAAAGGTGGGTGGAGTCTCTCAGGACAAAGCATTCTTGGCACGAGCAGACAGAGAAAGCGCAGTGGAGAAGTAAGCCAGAGTCAGGTGTGCTGGTACGGTTGGTGACCCAGGGTGGACAGGGAAGGATCCCTTATCTTATGCCTGATTGGTGGTTCTTTGCATTTTATGCAACTTGCCAGTTTACCTACAAAAGGAATTTTCCTTGCCATCTTTAAAAATGAGATGAATACTCTTACTGTCAATTCGATTGAGTTAAATGCAAGTTTAATGTGGAAGGGCAAGTGGGTGTGGGTGGAAAGATAATTCGGACTCCTTTTCTCTAATGCACACCTCTGCTGAGTGGGCACTTGTTATGTGTTTTACCAGGTTACTTTGCAAAATACCATTTAAGAAGTATTTCTTGATTTAAGAGGAAAATGTTTCAAGCCCATACAAAACCATAGAGAATGGTGTGAGCGCTGGCATGACCTGTCTCCCACCTTAACAACTGTTCCTCGTGGCCAGTGTTGCATCATCTGTACCCTCACACAATTCCTGTTGTTTTTAAGCAAATCCCAGGCAACATATTATTTTATCCATAAATATTTAAAATGTACTTTGAGTGCCTCAGATGTTGCAGTAAAGTCAAAGATGAAAATTTTCTTGCTTTAAGATCTTTCTTGCAGGAAGACCATGTCTCTATAGAAACCTCAGAGAGGTGGTCCTCAAAATGGAGTGGGATGGTGATTTTTTTTAAACAACTACTTGGGAGGCTATTTTCAAACCATGTGTCCTTCTAGAGCATTTCCTCTTCCCCCTCCACACCCCTTACTGCCCCCCCACCCCTCCAGCTGAAAATTGCAATGTTTGAATACTTCATAGAACTGGTTTGCTTTGACTGTGAGAGCAGAAATAAAAGATAAACTCCTTGCTTAGGGGAAAATGTGATTCCAGGTAAGGGAAGCTTTCCCTCTCAAGGACCATTTTTGGGTTGTTCTTTTCAGCCACCACGATGGGACTATTTAAAGATAATATTTATTCTGTGCCTTCTCAACCAGAGAATGCTGGATATTATTCAGCTCATGCCTATTCGCTACAGGACATTTCGGCACAGACTTCCATGCCGTGGAGTGTTTATTTTTATAGTTTACCTGTCACCTCCCTCGTTGCCATTTATCCCCTGTTCGTGCTTCGCCTAATCTCTTTTAAATCTTCTAAGGGCTAAGAAGCAACGTATATAAATGCATATAAAGTTAGAGTAAGTGAACTGTGAGGGTGTTTTTCTGTTTCCTGAGCAAAGTGTATGTTGGAATGAAGGACTTTGTGATATTTGACTGCTCAAAAAATCTTTTGGCTCCATTTCCTGGTTTTTAGTGAAATTCTGCAGGGATGTGGTTACCGTGTAGGTGTCACTGTACTGAGGATTCTTCTAACTTCAGATACTTAGCTTAAGAACGGCCTGAATTCCCAGCCCATTTCAATTACATAGTCAGGGCCCAGGAAAGTTGGAAAATTTATTTTTGGACAAGTTTCTCTCAGTCTCACCACTGAATGTCTGAAAGTGAGTTAGGAAGGAGAGGAAGGAATTTAAAAACGGCACCATTCTGCTTTTGCTGTGGTGGTTATAGAGCAACTGAAAAGTTAGGGGCTTGTGTTTGAAACCTTGCCAAAAATTTTACTTGACTAAAAAGAATTTGCTATATGGCTCTAATCTTGGTATTCTACAGCAATAAAAGTTATAGAGGAAACTAATAGTCTGATTTTCACCAAACAAAACCAACTTCCTCTCTGCTGTTTCTTAAGGGGGAACTCAGTGAAGGTTATTTTCAATATGCCTTTCTTTCCCACCGCATCCCTTTTAAAAATCTCCTTCAGAAAATGACATTGATTTTTAAAAATCTGAGCTGTGCCTTTTTCAGGTTTGTACACAGGATGGACGGGTTACATCAGTTTTTCCTTTCTCACACCCAGACCAGGGTTACCTACTTGTGTGAGGTGTGCGTGGGCGTTCGGTCATGATACGCAATGCTGGAAAAATCCCAGGGACTGTTGGTAAATATGGAATGCCAATGAACAGCAGTTAGCTTAAGTGAGTGGTTTCAAACGGAACTTTAGGGGAAAAAACAGGTAGGTATATATATATAACATAGCATGGGAAATAAAAAGACAGTGTGATGACCATGTTTAAGATTTGGATTTTAATTTCTTTTCCAAACAGACTATGCAGTAATTCAAGAGAGAGGATTAAGGTGTATTTGGTGGATAATATGAAAGACCTCTCCACTTTTTACCCTCATTTTTAAAGATATATTAGGTCAGCCAAATGACATTTTCTGTATTATAAGAAAGCTGTGTTTGCCTTGTATTTTCTCCTTTACAAGTTTTTCCACTGATATGTTTAGGAGAAAAAAAAAAATGAGAGTACAAGATACTGGTAATCCAGAACTGATACTTAAAAATGGAAACTTACATTTTAGAGCTTTTAGGAAGCTGATGGGTCAGGAGTGGGTTTTAGGAAACTTTCCCGGGTGTTGTCTTTTGCCACAGCCTATTGTTTACAGAGTAAATGTCCCAACAAATTGCTTTCGGAGTCATAGGCACATTAGAATATTTGTCACATTGATAGTTCTATTGTAGTTTTTGTGAAGAACTTCCATGGGACATGACATCTCTCTCCAGACCACCCCCAGTATAAGACACCTCAGCTTGGGAAACCGGTGGTGGGAATGTTCTTTTAACAGTCTGGGTTCAATTCTTTCTCTCCCAAAGAGCACCAGTGAGCTGCATAACTTCTCATCACTTTCTCCGCAATTTAATCCTCTCTTAAGCCCCCCAAAGCCAGTCCCTTCTCAGGCTCTGAATTCCTCAAGTGTCACTGAGGTCACCTGGGGGCTCTGCCCTACCTTGGTGTCAAAAACTCAACTATTTCAGGATTCATTCTTCCTTTCATTGTAAGAACAACTATTTATTTAGGTTCCTGCCATGTACACAGCTCCACTTCAGGGTTATAGGCCCGGCTGCAGATCTGATGCTGACACAGATCTTTCCCTTCAGAATTCTAACGGGGGACCTAAGACAGTCAGGGAGGCTGTGGTATGCCGTCAACTGTAGAGACACAGCCATGTGGATTATAAGACCAAAGTCAATTTGGAATCCATTTTCCATTGGAAAAAAGAACAGTTGCTAGACACTATACACATGTATATTATTTGTTGGCTAAGTTATGAAGATGACCACAGGCTTCTGGCTCACTTAGGATGGGCTTTTTAGGGAACATTCATCTCATGATTGGCTTCTTACTGCTTCTGTTTTCAGTTTATTGTGCTTCAGATATGTTTTGTTGTTTTGCATTTTTTTTTTTTTTTGAAAATTGAAGGTTTCCTGCATCGAGCAAATCTGTTGGCACCATTTTTCTCATAGCATTTGCTCACTTTGTGTGTCTGTTCACATTTTGGCAATTCCCATATCATTTCAAGCTTTCCCATTGTGACTTTATTTGTTATAGTGACCTGTGATCCATAATCTCTGATGTTAACTATTGTAGTTGTTTCGGGGTGCCAGGAACTGCACTCATCTAAGTCAGTGAACTGAGTGGATGAATGTTGTGTGTGTTCCGACTGCTCTACCAAAAAGCTGTTCCCCCGTCTCTCTCCTTCTCCTCGGGCCTCCCTATTCCCTGAGATATAACGGTATTGAAATTAGGCCGATTAATAACTCTATCATGGCCTCTAAGTGTTTAAGTGAGAGAAAGAGTCTCACATCTCCCACTTTAAATCAAAAGCTAGAAATGATTAAGTTCAGTGAGGAAGACATGTTAAAAGCTGGGATAAGCCAGAAGGTAGGCCTTTTGTGCCAAACAGTTAGTCAAGTTGTGGATGCCAAGGAAAAGTGCTTGAAGGAAATTAAAAGTGCTACTCCAGTGAAAACACAAATAATGACAGTGAAACAACCTCATTGCTGATATGGAGAAAGTTTTAGTGTCTGGATAGATCAAACCCTTAAGCCAAAGTCTAATCCAGAGCAAGGCTCTGACTCTCTTCAAGTCTGTGAGGGCTGAGAGAGGTGTGGAAGCTGCAGAAGAGTTTGAAACTTGCAGAGGCTGGTTGGTTCATGAGGTTTAGGGAAAGAAGCCATCTCCATAATATAAGAATGCAAGGTGAGGCAGCAAGTGTGGATAAGGAGTTGCAGCAGGTTATCCAGACATCTAGCTAAGATCGTTCATGAAGGTGGCTACTGTAAACAACAGATTTTCAGTGTAGACAAACAGCCTTCTTAGACTTTAATAGCTGCAGAGGAGAAGTCAGCACCTGGTTGCCAAGTTTCCAGGGACAAGCTGACTTTCTTATAGGGGCTAATGGAGCCAGTCACTAGAAGTTGAAGCCAGTGCTCATTGACCATTCCCAAAATTCTCGAGCCCTTAGAAATGATGCTAAATCTACTCTGCCTGTGCCCTGTAAATGGAACAAGAAAGCCTGGATGATAACACTTCTGTTTACAGCATGGTTTACTGAATATTTGAAGCACTCTGTTGAGAACTGTTCAGACAAAAAGATTCCTTTCTAAATATTACTGCTCATTGATAATGCACCTCCTCACTCAAGAGCTCTGATGGAGATGTACGATGAGATTAATTTTGTTCTCGTGCCTGCTAACAGATCTATTCTGCAGTCCATGGTTCAAGGAGTCATTTTGACTTCCAGGTCTCCTTATTGAAGACATGTATTTTATAAAGCTATAGCTGCCATAGATAATAAGTGATTCTGCTGTTGGATCTGAGCAAAGGCAATTGACAGCCATCTGGGAAGGATTCACCATACTAGATGCCATCAGGGAGATTCATGTTTCATGGAAGAGGTCAAAGTATGAACATTAATGGGAGTTTGAAGGAAGGTGATTGAAACCCTCATGGATGACTTTGAGGAGTTCAACACTTAAGTGGAGGAAGTAACTGCGTATATGGTGGGAACAGAAATAGAGCTAGAATTACAAGTGGAGCCTGAAGATGTGACTGAATTACTGCAATTTTATAAGGAGTTGTTTCTTATGAATGAAAAGAAAAGTGGTCCTTGGGATGGAATCTGCTTCTGGCAAAGATGCTATGAAGACTGTTGAAATGATAAAGGATTTAAAATTTTCTGTAGACTCGGTTGTTAAATCAGTGGCAGGGTTTGAGAGGACTGACATCAAATTTGAAAGAAGTTCTGTGGATGAAAAGCTATCAAACAGCATCTCATACTACACAGTAATTGTTTGTGAAGAGTCCATGGATGGGGCAAATTTTGGTGTCTTTAAAAAATTGCCACAGCCACCCAGCCTTCAGCAACCACCACCCTGATCAGTCAGCAGCCATTAACATTGAGGCAATACTTTCCATAGCTAAAAAAGATTGACTCACTGAAAGCTGAGATGATGGTTAGCATTTTTTAACAATAAAGTATTTTTTCTCATTAAAAGTATGTGCATTGTTTTTTTAAGACATAATGCCATTGCACACTTAATAGAGTACAGCATAGTGTAAACCTAACTTTTATATGCACTGGAAAACAAATAAACTCATTTGACTCACTTTATTGTGATACTTTATTGCAGGGGGTCTACATCCGAACCCAAAGTATGTCTGAGGTCTGCCTTACAATGTAGCAGAGCTGACAATGCACAGTTCAGTTTTATACTTGCTGAATTTCTGTCATAGCTTCATATTAAATTCTGTGTCCTTCGTTTTGCTGTTTTCTTTTTTTTCTTTCTCCATAGCAGATGGTAAGATACTGAAGTCCTTTTCATAATTGCTTTGCTATCCTTTGAAAAAGCCCAGTTTGAGATGAGGGAGACTGGGAAGGGCGCACACCCACAGCTGTGGGAGCTCCACAGAAACATTTTGTCCATTACTTCTTATATGCAGGTGAGGTAGGGATTGTCTGTACAGATGAGTGAACTGAGGTGTTAAGTAGCTTGGCATTTTGTCTTATCTTTCATAGCTATTTTTTTTCAATGATGGTTTGGATGAAGGTTTACACATTGCCTTTTATTGTAATTTGTAAGTGTCCTTTACTCTAGAGCAACACCCCCTTCAGTCTCCCCTATTATTTTTCTTTCACATGGAGATTGAAAAGGGTCATTGCTCTAGAGTAAAGTAACTTTTAGAAGGACCAGGCCAGTTTTCTTATAGCTTTTTTATTGATACCTTACCTGGCAAGTTTCTTACAAATTGAAGATTTAAAAAGTTAAAAAAAAACTTAAAAAATGACCAGGTTTTTCTAGGAGATGTAATGCCAGATTGACAATATTGCTTTTGATATACCATTTTTAGTAGTTAATATGTTTTAAGCTAATCTTTATTTATAAAAGTAATATAAGGCAGTTGTAAAATGTTAGAATAATTTAGAAATATATAAAAATAAAAAGTGAGAGTTTTATTTAATATCACTGCTAGTTAGCCCCAAGGTAGCAGTTAATCATTTTGGTGAACTTAAATTCTTTCCCCCTGCTTGTGTGTTTATTACAAAAACTGTGATCATCTATACATGTTGTGCAGTTTACTTTTTATTTCACTGTGGGTTATGGATGGCATCCTACAGAATGTATAGCAGGGATTGCTTTTCATAGTGGCTGGGGCAAATGTGCACCAAGCCAGTCACATTTTTTCATAGATGTTTAAGGTGAGACACACCCAAATGTGAAGTGCCTGGCCCAGGATTAGAAATGTGGCTTGTGTTCACAGAGCAAATATTTTTCTCTGTTTGAGGCTCCCCATTTAATATAGGAGTAGAATCTTGGGGTCTTCTGCCTTGTCATTCAACAAGCTGAGGGAACGTGTGAGTAGTAAACTCTGAATTCTGGCTCTTTTCCTCTTTTGGGGGTGGGTCCTTCCATATTCTCTCCTACAGCTATCAGGAGATCATTAGGTTGGCTTACCTTGGAAGTAGACACTCTGCCAACATAAAGTGATTTAGAAATGTTAATAGATATTACCAAGCCAGAGACTCTGGCATGTATACTTTAAGCCATCATAAAGCCTACCTGTCATGCTTAGGAATGTGCCAAGGGCCGGCATCAAACACCGGCCAAGGGAGTCTGGGAGTGTGTTTTTCTGTGTTGTACACTTATGCCCTGACCACCTACTGGCAGGGAGTGGTTTCTAAATATCGGATCCATTTTATTTATGTATTCAAGAATTCCTACAAGTACTTATTCAGATTCATCCATGCAAGCATCAAGGGGCGCAGAGTAATCCTGTGGAAGAAGGGTGTGAAGACTGGTGGACTCCGCCTGTTGTAGGGAGTCAAGTTAACAGAACAATCCCATGAGCAAGAGATGGTGCTTTGAGCTTAATGGAGAACAGAGGGTTGAGCAGAGAGGCTGGATATTTCTGGCTTCTTTGGAAGGTACATACAATGCGCTTCCCTGTGAGTGTTGCTGGCTCAGAATGGGATGGTAAAGCCACTTTGGTTATTATTTTTTTCTTGTGTTCCTCATGGCAGTAACGTTATCGCTGGTATTTGGGACATCAGGGTGTCAGTAATTCTTGTTATTAGTAAGTTAAATTATCCATCATTTGGTGACAGGGCTTTTTCATCAAGCATTTTGTAAAAGAACAAAATGATGGTAGGGTGGTCCCCCACATCTAATAAATACTTGGTAAAAAAAAAAAAAGGGGACAAAGAGTTGTGTTTTTTAAGTGCATCAAAGACTCCATCTATTTAAAATTTTTTTTAAAAAGGTGGAAGTTGCTGACTGTGTTAAATGCATATTCCCTTCATATTCTATCATCCATTCTAACAAAACAAAGTAACAAAATAAACATCAAATAATTAAGTAAATAAGATAATACAGTAACTATTAAAATAAAAATAAGGTAAATAATGCTAATGAAAGGAAAGATGCAGTATTGTGAAAAGTGAAGCAAGATGAAATTTTGAATTCAGGATCGGTGAGTCACTTAAATCATTGAGTCACCTTTTTCATCTGAAAAACAGAGATCATAAAATGTACTCCATAGAGTCGATCATGAGGTCAAAATGAGATAAGGTATTTAGAAGTTGAAAAAACGGGGTTCAGATTCCACTGCTGCTTCCTTGAGCAGACACGATCGCACAGCGAAAAAGCCCGTGAATTCAGGGTTGCAGGGCTGTGCGTCCTGCCAAGAGTTCTTTTCATCTCTCCTGACCTGCTTCTTCAGCTGGAAAGGGAGTTGTATCAGGTCACCCCTGTAAGATAATGTAAGTTCGTGGACTCCACCAAATGCTTGGGGGCCACAGGGCCTGCTGGTTCTCAGATCCGGATGCTCATCTGTCGGGGGTTGTGCCGCAGTGTCGGAACAGTGCGGAACACGTGCCCTGCCGTGCGCAGCTCCCCTTCCAGCCAGTGACCTCGCCGCTTCTTTTCTGTTCACAGCCATCCTCCGGAGTGCCGCACCGGGCATGGGCACCTTTTTCCGTACCTGGAGGAGCACGGGCGTTCGTGTCATCATCACCCAGTCACGAAACTGCTAAGGCCACCCCAGGGGCGTGGGCGCCAGGAGAGCAGGGCGGCGCCCAAGCGCCACATAGCCATGCCTTTCGGCCTGAAGCTCCGCCGGACACGGCGCTACAACGTCCTGAGCAAGAATTGCTTTGTCACGCGCATCCGCCTGTTGGACAGCAATGTTATCGAGTGTACCCTGTCGGTGGAAAGCACGGGGCAGGAGTGCCTGGAGGCTGTGGCCCAGAGGCTGGAGCTGCGTGAGGTAAGTGTGTACGAGATGAGTGGGTGAGCGCGACCCACTGAAGGGACCTGCCCTCCTCCGCCGCTGTCACTTGGCATCTGCTGTACCTTTCAGCCTCGTGTTTTACAAGGATCCCATGATTCTTAACATAAGCTTAATCTTGTAACTTTCAGTGGATCAGGAGACCTGCTCTGCTGTGAGAAGCAAGACCACCACCTAGAGCTTTGCATGGGGTGGTGGCTTCCTTTTTGCTTCAGCTGGCGGGCAGGTTTTGAGGGGGTTGGAAATAAGAGACTCTCCTTGCCAACGTCGTTTTCTCTCTTGAAAATAATCGAGTGGGTGGCCAGTGTTTTGTCATTAGGCTGCATACCAAGGAGAAAACTCCCACCTGTGGGATGGATGCAGCTGTTTTTATTTTATGTTTTCTATATTTTCCTCTTCAAAGGGGGAGGTGGGGGGAATCATTTAAAGTGAACGTGACCAGTGAGGCTTTTTGTGGGAGCTTGTGAAATGGGGGTTTTAAGATTCCTCATGACCCTTATTTTTTTTTAGTCCATCTGTGGGGGGCTTTAGGCAAACCCAGCCTTGACCACGAGGCTAGTCGGGTCTAGAAGAGTCGGGTTCCTTTTTCCTGCAGTATGTCCTTTTTAGCAAGCAAGCTCTGCTTTTTTTCCCATCTTATAGACATTCAGGAGAAGAGACCTTGGTGAGAAATGCTTGCAAGCATTCATATCTTGAGAGCCATTCGGCCCGTTGGCTGGCGGGTGAGGTGGTGCAGTTGAATGGTTGCCGCCTAAAATGACTGCCAGCCGCTGAGGTCCAGGCCTTGCTATGGACAAGGAAAAGCTCTGCAGTTGTCCTGGGCATGGTGACATCATGGCCCAATGCCTCAGTGGGATAGAGAGGAGGGGGCTGGTATCTGTTGGAAACGATGGTGTTTGATCTCTTTCCTCACCCCTTTCTATGTGCACAAAGGGATTGGGGTCAGGAAGCTCCCCTCCCCTTGGTGTCCTCCAAGGCTGTCATCCTCTGGGGGATTGTTCACCTGAGCGCTTCTGCCTCCTGCTGGTCTTCGTGCTCATACTTTGGGTTCAGTGATCAGGTCTTCCTTTGGCGTTTATTTCTTCTGTAGGAGACCATCCTGCCCCACAGATACGTGCAGCTTGGTAGTTGACACAGTGGAATAAACCTGTGACCTGTTCTGACCTGGCTGGCTGGTAGCTGGCTCTTTTTTGCTTATTAGTAGCACATTCTGGCATACACATCTAAACATGTACATGTGTGTGGCCATAAAGGGAAAATCTTAATACTATAGATCAGGTGGGCAGGAGATTGGTTTAATTCTTATAATAACTTCATAGATCATTTAAAAGGATATACAGTGGTTTTATCTCTGAGTGTTTCTAATAACTTAAATTAGAGTAATTAAGTGTTGTTCGCATGCATTGGGAGGCAGTATAGCATGTGGGTGAGTTGGTTAAAGGCACAGTCTTTGGAGTCTTGGACTTGGGTTCAGATTATAGTCCTGCCACTTATTAGTTACTTATCCTTGGAAAAGTTACTGCACTTCTCTAGACATCAGTTTTCTTACCTATAAATGTGAATAATGCTTCTTGTTTTTACCTTACTCCCCATATGGGGCTGTTGTAAATATTAAAAGAAATACAGTATGGGAAATATGTAGTACTGCATCTAATAATGTAGTTATTCCAATTCGAGAGTCTTAAAGGCAATTTTTCATTGAAGAAAATCTTGAACAATTGCCATACAGCAGGCACTGCTTTAGGACTTGATAAAATGAATATCAGTTAGATACAGTTTTGTCTTCAAGATACACACAGATGAGTAGGGGAACCCAGCATTTAAATCAACAGTTAAGACTGAATGTGATCAATGCTAAAATGCAGGGCAGGGGCAGGCCTGGGGCTGCAGCTGTCCACAGAGCTGATCAGTACATCCAGGCAGCAGGAGTGGATGCCTCAGTGAAAGATGAGCAGAGCCTTCACTCTTCATACAGGGGCTTGAAGGATATACTAGAGTTCAGCAGGTGGAAAAGAAGACAAGATCATTGGGGCATGGGGAACTGGATTTTTGAAGATACAAGGATGTGAATGAGCAGGTACCATTCTTGGGGGCTGAGAAGGCATCTGTGAATCACCAGGTAGTGCGTGTAAGGTGCAGGGTGAGGTGTGTTTAGAGATGTGTAGGGTAATGATTACTCTCAGCAGACTATTGTTTCTCTCAATGAGAAGGCAAAGGTCAACCTTGGACTATTCCACACCTCAAGTTGCTGCAAAGGATAAAGCAGTGAAGCCCAGATTCTGGTGTCAGGTGTGATGTGTAGGGTGATTGATCTTCTAGCATTAAGGTGGGGTTTGCTTTTATCACTGGCTTTATTTTGACCTGCTCTAAACAGGTGCATCCACGTGAGAGCAAGTCACTTTCTTTTTTATGCCTTTGTTCTGTGACACATGGTATTTCAGGTATGGCCTTGTGGGAAACAATCCTTCAGCTACTCTGGAACTCAAGGATAAAATAGAGCAATTGAACACCTTGTTCTTCATTTGCACATACAAACCTCCAGGATGAATGCATTGTCTACCCAGAATTTTATAAAAGAATAAAAGAAGCAGAATGTAAAAAATAAAAGCATCTTCTTTACTCATTTGACTTTGTATTTGGGTAATTTTCCAAATAGAGTTGGTGGTGTTTTTGAGGAGGAAGTGAAAACCCATCTCGAGTATAACAAAATGTTCAGTTAGGGTGGATACTTGGCTTTGCCGTTAGAAGTGTTCTGTAGTTTAGAGTATCCTCAACTCTGCAGTAGCTTTATATTAGTAAAGGAAAATTACTTTTGATTTAGTTTTTGACCTATACTAATTATAATTTGTGTTTTGATACTTAATTTCATTAGATAATTTAAAAAAATGATTTTATTTCTTAAAGCAGGTTTAAGTTTACCACAAAATTGAGTGGAAAGCATGGAGAGAGTTCCATATACCTCTTACTTCCCCACCCTGATGCCTCCCCCACTGTCAGCATCCCACACCAGAGTAGGGCATTTGTCACAACTGATGAACCCACATTAATACATCATCACCGAAAGTCCACAGTTTGCATGAGGGCTCACTCTCGGTGGTGTACATCCTGTGGGTTTTGACAAAGGTTTAACGGTGGGTATCCACATGGTAGACCACGTGAGGGTCACGTCTGGTTTTGAAAGCACTGAAGTGCTGCCAATTCAAATGGCATCCAGAGGGCCCAGGCCAGGTTCAGATGGTAAGCAAATACAGGCAAGCTCAGGGGAAGCTGAATACGATAGGGTCCCTGCTCCCAGAAACCCTAGATTTTAGAGAGTAACGCCAACAAACAGCAAAGAGAGTAGCCTGTACTGAGGTACAGAGACGGGAACGCACATGGAGTTTTCGGGGAAGGGCAGAGTTCGGACTGCTCACTTGTGGGTGTACGGAGAGGCCGTGACAGGAAGGTAGGAGTGTAGAAAGGCAGGTGGGAGCCTGATTTGAAAAGGTTTGATGTTTCTGGCTGGGAAGTTTTAACTGGATTCTATAGGACATTGTTTCCGAAATGTGTCACAAATATAAGTAAAATAATCACTTCCTTTTAAAGACCACATATTGTGCCGAGCACCTTCCATGCATCACCTCATCTCAGAACAGCTCTGAGGTGGCTGGTGTTTCACCATCTCTGTTTTACAGATGGGGAGACCACAGCCCAGGCTGGCCAGCCTGCCATTGCGGGGCTGGGACTGGCTCAGACTCCAGCTGGCCGTCTCCACCCTTCTGATTCCTGGGAATGTGTAGTGGCAGAAAAGGGGCCATGGTAAAAATGCTTTGGGAAACACGCTCATAAGTAGTCTCTTTTTTTTTTTTCAAGGTGTTGAACTCAGGGTTTCCCAATTATTTTAGACTTCTCTTAAATGCTCTTTGAACTGTTGGGGTAGCATGAGATGGACGGCCATCAGAGGATTTAAAGGCAGAGCATGCCATGGTCACCTTGCATTTCAGGAAAAGAAAAACTGAAGAAGAATGAGGATTGGGATAATAGGAACAGAGATGCTAGTTAAGTGTACATAACAATATTCCTGGCAAGAGGAAATAAAATGGACTCTAGGAAAAAAAAAATTTTTTTTTAATTAAGTTCAGGGAAAAGAAAATTAGGTATGAGCTTTAGGCCAGGAAGAGATGGAGATTCAAATAATTAGAATTCTGATAAGGTAGTTACAACATATTTAGATCAGTGGATTTCACTTTTTTCAGCAAAAGAAATCTTAGGTCAACATCCGTGTGTACATGGAGATGTTTTCTGTTCAGGTGTTGGCTGCTAGAGCCCCATCTCTTTGTGCTTTCCCTCCCCACCAGCAAAGTTGGAGAAAACCCCTGACCCTGGTTAAGAGAGAAATAGTTAAAACAATGTTGCTTTCAAGACTAATTCTCATATTTAAAAAACACATACATAAGAGAAGCAGCGCTTTATGGCTTGGACCAAACTGCCCTCGTTCGAATCTTGGCTCTGCCGCTTCTTAGTTGCGTACGCAATCATGGGTAGTTATTTACTGACCTGTACCTCTCAATTTTCTCATGTGTAAGTGGAGATGGTAAGTAGTAGGAACTCCCATGAGTTGCTGGGAGGATTAAGTCTGTTCATTCCAATCTTACATGGCTTTAGTTGTTAGAAACTGTCAACTTATACTGAGCCAAAATCTTTCAATTCCTTGAACCGTCATTATTAATGTAAGATTGTGCTGTCCAATAGGAAAGCCGCTGTTCACCTGTAGCTATTGAGCACTTGGAGTGTGGCTAGTTTGAACCGAGTGTGCAGAAAGTGTTAAATACACAGCAGCTTTTGAAGACCTAGTATGAAAAAAACAGTTAAAATGCCTCGTTAATCATTTTTACATTCATTACATGTGGAAAGCATTGTATTTTAAATATATTATTTTAAATAAAATGTATTGTAATCAATTCCACTTTTCTGTACTTTTTAAATGTAGCTACTAGAAT